AATTGCAAAAAATAATCCATTTAAGTACTATTCAAGCTGAAATATATAAATTTCATTACCTGAGAGTCTCTTGTGCATAGTTATTTACAGTTGTTACATCGAAGATAAACAACACGCGGCGGTTTATTTTGCTGATCCGTTCTCGCTTCGCCTCGCGTCGGCCATTGTTTTTGTGACGTCAGCCCCCAATGTTTGCCCCCAGTCCAAGATGGCGGCCAATAACCTTGATAGGGTCTATTGTAATATCTCTGTGCTAAGCATTTTTTATCGAAATCTAATACTTAGGGGATATTGTCATATTGTATAAATGTTTTATATTATGATTGTCATATTTTTATATCGATTATCTATTGTTATTATTAAACATTATTTGACAATGATTATTGCCGGTGGCTGCCGGTGACTGCCGGTGGTACCGGAGATCTGCCGGTCGTCCCTAGGGAAGCGCGTGGGTTTCCGGGGGACTCTCCAGAGCTATATAAGCAGAGGATAAGAATTGCCGGTGGGACTCGGCATTTAGATTTTGAGGTTAGCGGTTGTTTATTTGATTCTTGGCATTTTTCATTAGGAATTTAGTAATTTTTGAATTAATTCATCAATTTTTCTTATAGTGAATACGGGTTAATCTCGTTTCACTATTAATTACTAGTATTTATCGTAGGACGTTTATATTGGGTTAATCTCGATATTAAACGATTAAATAATTTTGTTACGGTTTGACTGAAAGTGAGTCTTGAGGTCTTTCCGTGTAAATAATTGTTTATCTTTGATAGATTTTAGGAATTCAATCAATTTAAAGTGATAATCTAGTTGCGTTTACAGGAATATTTAAGCAGGAATTAAGGCTAGGATTTTGATATAGAAATTATTGAGATAAATTTCTTGCTTTAAATAATTTGTTACATTGTGTAGATTTGTTAAGGGAGAAATCTTTTGGTTATTTTAAGGTATTTCTATAGTATTTATTACTCACTATTCGGGTCATTCTCGTTTAGTGCGCCCCCCCCCCTTTATCGTATTAACGTAATACGAAGGTTGTGTTAGTGTAGTAATTCATTGTGAATTTGGGTGATTCCCGACTTCCATTGAATTCTATTGTAATTGAATATTAATTAATACATATTGTGACTTTTATTTATTGAATAAATTTGTAAACTTTAAATAAGGCTTATCATTTAACTTCCCCGTAGTTATTTACGAGTCCAAACACAGGTAATTCTTGTGTTATATATTATAGGAGATCTTTATTTGCGGGTTATTCTCGTTAATCATCAGAGTACTACATGGGTTATTCCCGTGTAGGCATCTAAAAGTACTTGTGCGTGAGATCCAAACAGCTCAGGTCCGTTACATTTGGTGGCAGCGGTGGGATCTGCCAAGTACATCGGTGGATCCAGAGATACGTAACCCAGAACCAGTGTTGAGAAAAATCCATGCATAGGTACTATACTAGATCCAAGACTAGGATGGAGCCATCCATCAATCCCGGACATTCCAGAGGACAATCCACAGATGAGGAACTCCTCATAGATTTATCGCCGTCAGCGTTAAACAGATCACTCCGAGGGGAACAGAGCGTGTCCAACAATGACAACTCTACAGAGGATGAAGATGACTCAGATACTCAGGCTAGAATATCAACCCCTATACGGAAAATAAGAAGGTCCAAAAGGACTGTGCGTCAGCAAAGGGAGATGATCCCTACAGACACAGAACTGTCAGAACCACTCACACAGTCATCACAGAATAATTCTGTTACAGAACCTATGAAGCTAATGATGGAACAGATGGCCCAGACAATGAAAGCTATGCAGAATATGATGGAAGCAACTACTCAAACTCTCAGACAAGTAAGCAACCAGACAATGAAAGTCATGCAGGATATGATGGAAGTGACTACCCGAAATCTCAGACAAGTGAACAGTCAGACACATACTACAGACTGCGAGCTGCAGCCTAAAATATCAAGAATCAACTCATATAATAACAAGTCAGAGACAGGAACTAAGAAAAGCCATCGTGAGGAATCAAATGAGGATTCATCACAGTCTGAAAATGAGCAATCTATTAACTCAACAGCCACTAGAGATTTGTTCAAGTCCAATGAGTCAGATAAACACAAGCTTGACTGTAAGCTTCCGCCTTACACAGGTTCTGAGAAATGGAGAGTTTGGCTGAATCGCTTCGAGTCTGTAGCCAAGTTAGCCAAGTGGACTGCTAAAGAGAAGTTACAACAAATATTACCAAGAATACAGGGAATTGCAGCTGATTTTGTTTTTGGTCAGCTGAAGAAGGAGACTATAGGGAATTATGAGACTTTAGTCGCAGAAATAGAATCCAGATTTGGAACACTGGAGAATAAGAGAGTCTACAAAACTCAATTCAACAACAAAAGGCAAGGAAAAGATGAAAGTCTTGAAGAGTATGCTGCTGACATTAAGCGTCTTTATGACTGGGCTCACCCGAGTAGAGATGCCAGCACCAGACAGGAAGACTTAATTTCAAAATTTTTGCAAGGGTTATGGGATTCTAAGGCAAGGCAGTACATTGAATTGCACAAAGAACCATCAACAATTGAAGAGGCAGTACAGCAGGTAGCTGCTTATATGTCAGTGACATCCAATTTAACCACCAATGAAGAGAGGCATCCTATTAGACAGGCTAAGCCTTACGGAAAGGGAGACAATCACTATACTGGGAAAGGAAATAAAAATTCCATGGAAACGACAAAGGGGAATTGCTTCATTTGCAACATGCCCGGACATTATGCCCGAGAGTGTCCAAACAGGAATTTTCACAGGACAGAGAGATCACAGTACAAGAAACCTCCAGAGAAAACCATGTCATCATCTCTACCATGTATAGATGAACAGCCAAAGACAAACCAAAGCCAAGCTACAAGTACCATGTCACCTGATGCACCAGAATTTCAACCAAGTCGACAATCAGGTTGGGATGTAGACTTGGATAATGATTGCGGAGACAGAATGAAGAAACTTTTAAACTAGAAGGGGTCAGCTCCGGAGGCCAAGAGACGACCCAAAGTAACAAAGGCCAAAATGACTGTAAAATTTTAACTGAACCTATTTTAAGTGGAAATTTAGATGAGTCAGGGGAGAAAATTGAAAACCAGGGGAAATTCCAACCTTACGTCAGGGACGTTTCAAGGGAAGAGGAACTGAGTACTCAGAGGGAGTACATTAGGAGACAGTTCCTTAAGGCAGATGGAATTTATGTTCAGGGAACAATTCAAGGGATAAAGGTAGAGTTCACGGCAGACACAGGGGCTGCAAGAACTATATTATCCGACAAAATATTTTGGAGACTCCCCGGGAACGAAAGACCAGAGCTAAAGGAATCTTCAAGCCTTGTAGCGGTCAATGGAGATCCACTTAAAGTCTTAGGGAAGGCTGAATTTGCAGTGCAGTTAGGAAATCTAGCATTTCAAAGGGAGATAATTGTTGCGGGAATAGAAGATGAATGCCTCTTAGGTATGGACATCTTGTTGGACAGTCAATTTGGGCCTGCAGTTATCAATTTGAATGACAGTTTCATTTCTATGAATGGCTGTAATATACCTTTCACAAAAGAGAGTCGGATTCAAGATGGTGCTGGAAGATTCGTGTACAAGACCTTTGACAATGGCTAGCAGATAAGCGTTGATGTCTTCAGTAAAGAAAATTAGTTAGAATGTGGTGTAAGTATGGTCAGAGTTTAGGTATATGCATTTTGTAATTTTGTTTTTATTGTTGTATATTAAAAGAAAAATTTCTAACAATTGAAGTAATGTTAGGATTGTGAAACTGAGGAAATTATATGACTTTGTCTAGTGTACATTTTTTAATGTTAATTTATTATTGATGGAGAAATGTATTGAATGTATATAGACATGTATTGTTGGTTTTTTTTTAATCTTAAGATTTTGGTGAGGACACCAAAGTTTTAAGAGGGGGAAAATGTCACAATTGTGACAATGATGCCGATTGTTTTATATAGGATTCGTGTTACCCTGTTTGTACATTGTACTTTCCCCCATTTGTTGATCGCATAATCGGTTACATTTCTTATTATTGATTCACTGTACTTACGTTTCTAGAAGAACATAATCTTATGATTATAATTTTATTATCCTGGATTAATATCAGTGTTGTAAAACGCTAGATTTGTTGTAAATATCGTTTCTAACTCTGTAACTTTATTTATAGATACCGCCATCATGATGATTATTTTGTGGAATATCACACCCGATTCTAATTGTAATATCTCTGTGCTAAGCATTTTTTATCGAAATCTAATACTTAGGGGATATTGTCATATTGTATAAATGTTTTATATTATGATTGTCATATTTTTATATCGATTATCTATTGTTATTATTAAACATTATTTGACAATGATTATTGCCGGTGGCTGCCGGTGGCTGCCGGTGACTGCCGGTGGTACCGGAGATCTGCCGGTCGTCCCTAGGGAAGCGCGTGGGTTTCCGGGGGACTCTCCAGAGCTATATAAGCAGAGGATAAGAATTGCCGGTGGGACTCGGCATTTAGATTTTGAGGTTAGCGGTTGTTTATTTGATTCTTGGCATTTTTCATTAGGAATTTAGTAATTTTTGAATTAATTCATCAATTTTTCTTATAGTGAATACGGGTTAATCTCGTTTCACTATTAATTACTAGTATTTATCGTAGGACGTTTATATTGGGTTAATCTCGATATTAAACGATTAAATAATTTTGTTACGGTTTGACTGAAAGTGAGTCTTGAAGTCTTTCCGTGTAAATAATTGAATATCTTTGATAGATCTTAGGAATTCAATCAATTTAAAGTGATAATTTAGTTGCGTTAATAGAAATATTCAAGCAGGAATTAAGACTAGGATTTGATATAGAAATTATTGAGATAAATTTCTTACTGTAAATAGTTTTGATAGATTGTGTGAATTTGTTGAGAAATACTTTGGTTATTCTAAGGTATTTCTAGGATTTAATATCCACTAATCGGGTCATTCTCGTTTCGTTCGCCCCCCCCCCTTTTATCGTATTAACGTAATACGAAGGTTGTGTTAGTGTAGTAATTCATTGTGAATTTGGGTGATTCCCGACTTCCATTGATTTTATTGTAATTGAATATTGATTAATTCACATATTGTGACTTTTATTTATTGAATAAATTTGTAAACTTTAAATAAGGCTTATCATTTAACTCCCCGTAATTTTATTTACGAGTCCAAACACAGGTAATTCTTGTGTTATTATAGGAGATCTTTATTTACGGGTTATTTTCGTTAATCATCACAGTACTACATGGGTTATTCCCGTGTAGGCATCTAAAGTACTTGTGCGTGAGATCCAAGCAGCTCAGGTCCGTTACATACACCTTTCGGAGTATTTCACTTGTATAATTGCGTCATTGATGTGTATACAATATGATGGCTCATTGCAAGAATAAATAAAGATTTGGCTTTAAATAAATAAAATTATACAGTAAAGATGGTTTTTTGAAAAAGCAGTTATCGATGATTTTAAAAAAAACATGGACTTTAACTTATCGTGAGGAATGGTTTTATATCAAGTTGAAAGTCGTATGGTAATACAATTTTTTTTTGGTTGATTAGAATACAAAATTATTCAAAACTGACATATGATTTTGAAAAAATTTCTCCTTAGAAAGGGAGATATTAGTATGAGTAGGATTACCACTTTAAGAATTAAATTCAAGTTCATCTTAAACACACATTTTATATAATGAGCCTTACAAACAAAGACAGTGTTGTTACAATAATGACCTTTTTAGCGATGAAACCAATCAATTTGTCGTATTTGGCTGATTTGTTCACTATCAAATGTTAGGACCTTGTTTTTAAATTAAGTTTGGCTAATACATGTAGGCATATGCACAATCATCTACATTTACCGAATACGACACTGAATATTAAGTTTGATTTTAAGGAAACTTAATTAAACCCTTACTCTGAAGGCAATGGAATGACTTAGAATAATTTTCAGGAACAAATTCGCTCTTTGAAATTTGATAAAAATTTAAATTGCTTTTCTTCAACAAAAAGAAATTTGTTATGGTATGATAAAGAGTTATTGAAGATAATTGACTGCTTCTTATAGATAATGTACTTTAAATCTGTGGGAGAGATGATTTTTCAAATTGAGAAATTCAGTTTCTAACAACACTGTTAATTGCTTATCAGTGAAAGAATATTTGTATTGCTTGGATGGACGTATGAGCTTAAATACTGTTCGTTACCTTGAAATTTCATTGATATGTATATTAATTGAATTCTTTATGTCAAAATATAAGATTTATCTATTTATATGCATTTCATATTTTTAAATGATTTCTTTTTCATGCTTAAAATTCATTTTGATAATAATACATTTATATTAAACTTGACAATGTGAAATATGGAGAGAATATTTTACAATCACCAAAGTTCAACAGGCAGTAACATGAATTAATTATCAATGGTTTTTTCATTTTTTGTTAGCATTTTTCAACGGGTTACATTACCTGTATTCTGTTGGTTTAATCTGAATTAAATGTCCAGTTTTTCACAAACATCTTTCAAACAAAAAGTAATATCATTTTATGGAAACCAAGGTCTCGTTTTACTATAGGAGTCGGTGCTGGTACGAAAAAAATTACAGTTAATTAAAGGTTCTTAGTAAGTAGTTCTGGTCTTAACTATCAATCCTCAACCAGCAATTTATGGCGCCTCTGTATGAGTGAAAACTTCTGGAAGGGACATTAGACAAAAAGTACATTCATTGTATTGAGATCTTTTAAAAACATGTACTACATAACCAATATGGCAAGATACTTTGTAAATACGTGAAATTAAACATCCCTCTCGACACAAAAAATTAAGCTTTCGTAATCTATGAGTGATAATGAAATTTATATGGAATGCAGACAAAACAAAAATGGACATTGTAAATACCGGTATTAAATCATATATATTTTCAGCATTTTGTTTACAGAGAATACATGCAAAATATCTTCTTTTTATAATACAAATCTGCTTGTAAAAATATTTTTAAAGCACTGGAAAAGATATCACAAAAAAAGATCAGAATTTTGCATTTCTTGCTTTTTAGTGTAAAATAAACAATCAAAAAAATACCTGCAAATGTGTTTCTGCTGCAACGAAAAATCTCTATCTGCTTTCGTTATAGGAGAAATTTAATAATAACGATATAAAGAGACACTGTTGCTCTATGCTAGGAATTTGAGATTGTCATTTTAAATTTTCTGTCGTAAACTGAATCATTCAATATTTTAAAGTTTTAAAGCTTTTTAAAGACCTATATTGAAAAGCGTTCATAAATACTTTTTTTAAGCAATCAGATAAAAATCATATCTTTGATTCATATCTTTTTTTCTTTCAATATGAAAGAAATTACGATAAATAAATAGAATTACGGAGGTTTTGCATTCCTCTAAACTTGACACCATCATTATGGTATGTAATTTTCATATAGGCAAATTGTATATTTCAATGCTTAAATTTCGGCTTTTGTGTATGTAAAATTTAAATTTGTCTTATTCATGTGATGCCATTATTTTATGAATAAAGTATAAAAGGAGCAGTAAACAAAGCCCAGATTACACTGAAAAAATGGAGAACAGGAGCAAAGCATCTCCTCTCGTGTGCTCCTTGTCATTATCGCACAAATGGAAAATAATCCGTAACCAATTCAGAGAGTAAAAGATGGTGTAACATTTGGAATAAGAAACGTCACAATTTGACGTAATCATGATTGATTGAAGTTGCTGACAAGGGCACTGTACCGATCATAGAACTTGTAAAATAATGACTTTAATAAAAATATTATGAAACATATGGAGATAACGAACGTTGTTCAAGATCATCAAAGGTCTTTAAAACAATTCAAAATATGAGCAGAGCAAACGCGGACCTTTTTGATGTTGACTTTCTTAAAATAAAGATCATCAAAGGTGGAACCATGGAAACGTGAGAATCCCCTGCCGACTGGTCATACCCGTCGTGCTCCTTGTCATTATCGGGAAATAACGGAAAAATCCGTCGTCAATTAAGTGTACAAATAATAGACAAACAATTAGTATGAAAAACGTCAGGCAGCATTTGACTCAATGATAAATTGTATTTGTTGACAAGGTCATTGTATCAACCATAGAACTTACAAAATGATGACTTCAATTGAAACTGCTGATATTCTTGTTTCATCATCTTGTTTGTCAATAATTTATCTCGTTTTAGAAATTGTTCATATGTAGAGCATGCTCCTGCGTATCGAATCATCTGAGAGATATAAACACCGCATGCAGGTGATGAAGGTATATTGCTACATAAGTAAAGGAAGTTGACGATAGAAAAGTTATTTAAAGTCATAACGTTTATCATAGAACTTGGTTATTAGATTACCATTTATGTTTTTTAAAGTAAGATATCCAAAAATGTAATAGATGTGTCTGACTTTGTGGTATCTTTTATTTCAAGCTCACCAGGATATATCGAATGGACATAAGAATGGAAATGACCATTGTAATTTGACAATACGTCATCGATACATCTAAATGTCGAGTTTAAAGCCACAGCATGTTTAGTTTACTTTTCACAAAAATGGGTCTGCTAATAACGGGGCTAAATTGTTA